AAAGATAGTGATTCTTTTCCAAATACAGTAGGAAGCTTCGTTATTACCCAGTCACTTTAACTACTATCATCAAGAATTAAACAGCTAGCTATGTGAAAAGCAAATGTCCCACAGGCTGCACACTCACTGCAGGCCACCACAGCAAAACAATGGAATGGAAACTCTGGAACGGATTATGCTGAATGACTTCATCTAATATTTAGATGAATGTATGTAATTTAAAAAATACATGCATGTTATGTCCTTAGTATTAATCCCATCTTATTTCTGAGTATTTTACTGAGATGCCACAGCTTAGTGTTTCCTCTTTAAGAAGTAAAATAAGATAGAGAAGATAGCTATCTGCAGAGAGATACAGGACTGGGCTAACAGTGCTTAGCAGATGCATTAAATTCTAATGGAAAGCCTCAAAACATAACAACACCCTGAAGAGGTTATATGAAAAATCCCCAAAAGTCCCTAATCTGACAGAAGGAAAGGAGTAGAGGAATAAGTGTCCCCAGATATATTTTGTTTAAGGGCACAAAGTTGAGTGGGGTGAACCTGCTCAAAAATGTATCATTGGTTGGAATTAAAACACACTTACAGACAACAAAACAGAGATGTAGCTGCGGTTCTGTTCAGAGCTTTTTCATCTAAAATACAGTGAATAAAATGGCAGCTGTGGCCACTGCTGCAAGACTGCCGCAGTTAAAACACTGATGGTTACTACTGAATTACCATAGGGGTGAAGGAAATTCATCCTATTTCTGTATAATTCTGTTCTCAAGCCACTAGAAGATCCAGATGGTAGAATCAGCTACACTTCATATTGTTTCTTTTTTAATGTTTTTAAGTCTGCCATTTTCCCAGTCAAGCTTCCTGGTACTCAGCTGTTCTGCTTCATATGCCCTGAGCTTCAGCTTCATTTCTGCAGCTGTGTTTTCTTTCATGTGTTACATTTCCTAAAGAATTGAGATCTAAAATTTATTATGTGATCCAGTACTGCTGTAGTTACTGGAAGCGGCGTTTTCAGCATTTTTTTTTTATTTTATTTTACTCTTCTAGTATATAGTATCAGAGCTTAAATTATCAGTTAGATATTGGTGCAGAAAGTATTACACAAATTGTGTGTATATGTAGTTTCTGACTGCTAGTTTAACAAGGGTACTTTTCCAAGTTGCAGGCTGATTCTTCAAAAATGAAAAAAAACAAGTTTAATTTCTATAACTAATGTTATGGGAAGCACATTATTTAATACTTCTGATTTTAGTAAAAAGCAGATTTACAGTGTAATAGAACAGCATGGAATTCCTGAAAATTCCACTGACTGCAGAGGCCAGTGGAACTCATGTGGTTTAAAACCCTTCAGTCAACTGCAATCAAAGCAGTTTGAGCTCTGCAGTCTCTGAATAGTGGCTGAAGTTCATAATTCACTGTTCATACATAGAACAAAGTTCTTTTCAGGGTCTTCTATGACGGTAATCCACAATTTTTGCTACAAAGCCGAATGCCACCATTAAATTGCTTTGTTTAGAATGTCTGTCTGCTTGTTCCTGAGAAGCAAATCCTGTACCACACAAAATCTATTCTCATTACTGTTAGTCTTGTTATGTTTCAGTACAGTGAAAGAAGAAAATAATATTTTAGGGCACGGTTTTCAACAGTGTGTAAATTCCATTGATTTTCAACAAGAAAGGTCCTTTGCATATCCTTCCCCTTTACAAACATCAGCTATTGCAAAGCCATTGGCTGCTACAATTTGTAGATGGTCCTGAGAGTGACTGAAGTAAAACACCTACCATTTGCTAAATGCTATGCAAAGCTGTACAGTGAATCACTAAGATTGTACATCTGAATGAGGAGACGCAAAAGAGGCATTCAAAACACGATCTCCCAAGCAAATGAAAGACAGAACAATCCTGCAATGATCAGAGTTAGAAATTACCTTACAGACACCTAATATAGACACCAGTCAATAATATCAATCAGGTGTGGTGAACTGGTGAGTGCACAGCTTTGAATATCTACACAGCAGTTCTGTTTGGAACTTTGGTTTTCCGTTGTGCAACTCATTTGTGTCTTTTATTTAGTTCTTCTTCAAAAAAGGTAAGTGAATGAGTTACAATGCTTTTAATCATGCAAGATACTAAGAAAGCTTTTTATCATCAGTTGCAATTGCACTGAAACCTGAAATCAGAAGGGTCTAAAACATAGAATAGAATTGCAGAATCATTAAGGTTGGAAGAGATCACTAAGATCATCTAGTCCAACCATCAACCTATCCACCACCATGCTCACTAAACTATTGTCCTTTATATTCTGCTTGCTCGCTAGAAAAGCCAACATGTATTAAATAATCCAACTTTTATGGACTCACGTCTTGCAATGCCCTTGCTCTGAATGGCTCAGAGGAAATTAAAAGAATATTTAAATGAAATGCCTTGCAAATTTCCTTCTTTATCATCTTCAAGTGCTGAAAGATATGATCTACTATACATATCCAGGCAAGCTAGTGACCCCCAAGCTTACATGGTTATAGAGAAGTCAGTACTTCCCCTCTTGTGGTAAAATCTCAAACAGTGAGAAATTAATTCAATAACATATGAAGGAGACAAGCAGGAAAAGAAGCATCTGAAAAGATATTTACTACTACAGATTCAGTGTGACACAACTGCCTTGTATAGAAGCACATTCATTTTCCTTACTCTTTGAATAAGCTTATGAGTAGGGAGACAGGAGTTGGTATGAAGAGTACCTCTGATTTTAGGACCCCATCTGGCTCTGAAAAGCATTAAACACTGCGTTTATAATTACTTATTTGTTTCTGCACTGTATAGTAAAGGTTTGAAAGAGCAGTTCTCAGATAAATTACCTGAACTATGAGTAGATAAGCATCCTGCAATTGACTAGTACTGAAATCTACAGCCAAAGCTGACAGGATTATGCCACGAGTTTGCTTCCTCTCAACAGGTAATTTAGTTTTAATGGATGATATTGAAAAATTAAAAGAAAAGAAAACAAAACAAAACACAGAACTACTACAGCTATTACAATTAGCATTAATATGATTCTGATTTTTTCATCTGTGGAACATAGAAAACATACAATTTATTACCCAAATTAGAATGAGAAAAGATTTTGCAAGCAACTATCTCCTCATCTTTTCTTATTTACCAAGTTTCCTGTTACTTTGCTCATACTGAAATGAAAATTTTAAAAATATTCAGCTTAGCAATAAGATTCAATATTTCTAGCACCTACTTGTAAAATTTTTATTCATAAAAATGCATCTACAAAATTGATGTCTATAGCAGTAAGCTGCAAAGCTTCTTTACCTTCTCATAAGAAATAAATTTTTGGCATCCACTCCATTTTATGGAAATAGATAAATTTCAAAACATCTTGCAAAAAAAAAAGTTATTAATAAATGATTCCCTTTCCTGTCCATTTCCACAATGTGTCTGTTGTTTGGTCATGGTGAATAACTTTTTCTATTTCATCACAATCTGAAAGGATATGTTTATTTTAAGTTCTTTAGCTGTAGGTTACTCAAAATGACTGTCATATCACACACTTGGTTTAATTCCAATATTTTATAACTACTACTGCTCCCTGCACTACTCTTCTGATTACACACACACAAAGTCTCATCAGATACACTTTTCTGAAAGATAGTTTAGCATTGTAATTGACCACTGGAATCCAGACTTTCAGAGTTCAACCTCAGATGCATGCTTAAATTTATTGCAATGTTTGCCAAGAGCAGAAAGTGACAGATTTAGTGCTCTTCCAGAGAACTGTTATATACACAGAAGAGATATAGTATAGAGGATATTAGAAACAGTGCATTTTATGAACTGTGGATGGGTAATCTCGGCAATTCCACATGTATAACAAACAAAAAGACTCCATTACTGGTATAAAAAACTACCAGGAATATACCGTAATATTCATGAAATTTGAAAGGTAAGAGAAAGCACTGAAAAAAACCTACAGGTTATCCCATGTAAGTGAAACAGGTAGAATAATCTCACATGTATGACATATATGACATGCAAATTTATTCATTTCATGCATATGCTATTAATTAGAGACTTTCTTATGAAACAGTTATTATGGAACAAATAAATATATTGCATGTTCATTCTGTTCCCGTGTACTGTGTAAATAATCATTTTCTTTGCCCAAAAATCAGATATAAAGAAAAGTAGCTCATTATCTAGCAGTTAATAGCTAGAGGGAAATTTCAGGTAGGAAAAACAATACATTTAAATTTGTTAAAAAGTAATTTCTATAATGAAATATTTTTTACAAAAGTTAAGGTGATAACACACAGTTTTATATGGTTAAACTTTCACCTTAACAAATAATATTCTGCTTTCTGTTCAACACTATAATTTTTGCTGATGCTGTCAGTCTTTTTAGCCATAGGTAGCCATAAAGTTCTGTTAGAAATGATAAAGGTAATTTAGGCTAGTGCAGGTCTTATCCTAGACATCCATGGAATTTTTTTGAAGGAAAAAAATGAAATTATTCTATGTATCTTGGTAAGTTAGTACTCCCGTCTCCTTGTTTTAAAGAGAACTCTAGGAAAAAGCATCGACATGAAAGTAGAAAGGAGAAGTTGGACATACATGAAACAATCTTTAAAAAAGGAAGAATTCAGAAACTCAGTATGTTCAATGAACTTCAGTAGCATCTTCAATGAACTTCAAGGATATCAGTAGAGTAAGTTTAGAAGAAATGTATCTTCCATCATTGAAAAGCATACAATTTCTGTATCTTGCATTTATTCTATACAAGAAACATTACATCACACAAATCACTATGTCTTGTATTCCTTTATATGTAATGAAAACACACAATCATGAATCCAGCTTCTGCCAGCCTAAATTCACTGTATTTCTGTAATTGACAGGTCAAGCAGTTAACCAATCAACAAAGTCAGGTCCTGTTTCATCTATGAGAGAGGTTAAACATCAAGCTTAAAATGGATGTGTATTCATTTTCATATTTACCTTTAGGGCCTTTGAACAACTTGATCTCTACCACGGTCTCCAGAATAGGTCTCCTTCGACGAACATACAATCGAACTATGGAGCCAGCCTCTTTTAGGGCCTCCACGGCTTTGCTGTGCGAGACTTCTGACACGTCCACCTCATTCACTCGCAAGATGCAGTCGTTGACCCTTCAAGAAAAAGAAAGAACCATGTTATTTTAGACTGAGCAGTGTTTTGTCAGTAGTGCTGTAAAGCAATAACCACTTAATTGGGAAGTTTGCCGAATGCAATAATGCTATATGCTACATCAGCAGTGAGATGGAAACAGAATGCACGAATTCTCCAAAATACATACTGGATTCAAACTAAATCATGCCTACTCACACCTACCGTCCTCCATCATAAACTGGGGTTGGAGCCACTAGGCTGATGGAAATAATAAACAACTTGTTTTTATATACTTAGTTATAAGAGTTTGTACTAAACAATATAATCTAGTTACCAGAGTCACAATGCATGGTATGACTACTACCAGTGCTCTTACGGAAATCTATTGATTTAATTCAATACAGAGAGATCAGTATTTCATAAAATACCTTCTTAAATCTATCTTACTTCTTCAACACAGCCAAAAAATTCTAATTCACCAAAGTACAAAGTTCAACTCTAAGTCTAGGCTCCAAGATATGCTGTTTGGTAACATATATTTTTGCATAGAATACTAGAAGAAAATCCCTCATAATCTTATTTTGGATATTTACTAGATTTTTATGGGGCTGAACTAATTTATTCACCCTCAAAGTGACCTAATTAGATGTAGTATTTTCCCTATTTTGTATATTACTGCAAAGTTGTGGCATATAAAAGGAGAATGAGATTTTCACAAAAGGTTATCTGAACTCCAAGAACTTAGGATGGATTTTTTTTTTTTTTTACATTCTTGTGCTGCTGTTTTTGCTTAAAAAAACAACAATAAAATAAAGCCAAAACTTCAAACATTATTTGAAACCAAACATTTTCTGTGTTCTCAGTATTTTCGAAGAAACTTTACTAGGAGAAGCATTGATAACAGCCTTCAACTGACAATTGGTCTGTCTTAGGAAGGGCACAAAATTGGAACTCCCATTCTGATAATAAATTCCGTATGGCAAATTTTCCAGTTTTTCCAGAAATTGGACTTCCTGGTTTCCATCAATGCCAGGAGTATTCATTTTTGAAATGCATAATTGTCTGGTTTGGCTGTCAAATTAATAAGTGGTCTAATATAAATTGCTTTATTCTATTAAATAAATCATGAATGCATCCTGTTACTACTTCCTACTTGTATAGTAATTATGACTAAGTTGCTCTGTGCTTCTGTTAAATATTGCTGTATATCGGATTCTGGACACATTTCTGACTCTCACTGTCATACCTGAAATACAGGTAATGAAAACCACAAGATTTTAGCCATTGATTGGCTATGAAAATGAAAAGGTAGGAAAAGATTATAAAACCACTAAAAAGAAGGACTACATTTCTTTTGTTTTCCTATATACTGTGCTCTGCATTGAAAAATATCAGTACTATTAGATAATTCTATATATCTAAAACTTCTCATTAAGGTTCTACTGAAGCCTTCTGTCAAGGAAAAAAAGCAAATCTTATGGAGCAAGTCAATGAAGGACATGGAATCGTACTGAACTTGCTAAAATCAGTAAGCCATATATATCTATTTGCTGAAAAAGCCTTTGGAAAATGATTTTTACACTCCAAAAGGAATCTCACTTTACTATCTGAAATTCAGCCATTTAGAGTTATCTACTTTAAAATTCTAAGGCCATCTTTAATAAAACATACACAGATTAATACTAGCAGTGTGGGACTTGATGATCTTGAAGGTCTTTTCCAACATGACAAATTCTATGGTTGTATGAATATGAGTGAGATAATAAAAAGCTGCTCCATAATGGAAGTACTTTAGTATTTTGTTTCTACACAAAATTTATCAGTGCAGAAACAACACTGACAGCAATCATCCCATTCAGTCTACTATGATGAAAACACCTAGTGCTAGGACATATATTCTTTGGGAACCCCAGGTTTTTATTTCCCTCACAAACACAGAGATGAATTGTTTAGTTTATGTAAATTTCTAGTTAGAAATAAATAAAATATTGAAGAACATGCACACACATGGGAGTGTGCAGGTGCATGTTTGTACTGATAGAATTCCTATGGCTTTATCATAAATTTGGTAGAAATGCAAATGCAACCATAGGTCAACAGAATCCAGTGACCACAGGAGTCTGCAAACACTCAGAATATTTAGACCACTAAAATAGCAAGGCCACAAAGCAGTGAAATAAAAAAATGTAAGCTGGTGAATGGGCTTTAACCTTCTTTTCATTATTATTAACAAAGCAACTCCTGAAGATTTGTTTCAAATTCAGTACAGTAGACTAAATTTTAACAGTACATTTTCTACCACAATCAGGATCTATTCTCTTAGTGACCTAAAAATGCTGCAGCAACATAAAACCAAAATATTAATAGGAAAATATATTGGTAAATCCAGCTTAAGAAAACTCTTTCAGGTATTCAAGAATAAGGCTTACTCCTTAGGACCAAAATTATTTTGCCCTTGTCAATATCCCTCTACTGTATTTTCCCAACTTAATTGAGATATTCACCTGAAAACTATATGGCAAAAGTATATTTCAGTTGATGCATGTATACCTTACCCCATTTATCTCAAAACCTTCCCAGGGTAGTTATATGATCTATGTACGAGTCCCTTTCAGGCACAGTTTCAGACCTATGCCAAGGAGAAGAGTTTCCCATAATGCAGAGTAGTAAGAGTCAAGTATAACAAAACAAAAGAGATCCCTAGAGCTTCATCAGTATCTATACTGCTTCAACAACAACAAAAAAAAAAACAGCACAAAACTCCGAGGAGGAGGAAATGGTTCCAATGAGTCTTGTTTCCATATCAAGAGAATTTTTACTATTAAAGCATTTATTTAATAGCATCAGCACTATTACATTACTACCACTCTGCTTGTAAAACTTGACACTATATACTTGAGTGCAGTACCTTCATACAGTTACTTTTTAAGATACATGGTCTAAAAAATTATAAAGCTTTCTAATTAGCAAGAAAGAAGAAAAGGAAGTTTTATTCTGAGCTATCTGTGATGATTTTCATAACATTTAAGAAAGAAGAAACTATTTCTCTAGTTCTAGATGAAAAGAACTCTTAAAAAGGAGTCTCAAAATGGAGAACTTGACTTGCTAAGACTTAATATAATCTCAACATCTGTTGATGTTATGAGTTCATAAAGTTCTTGAATAAATTTTCTCATGTATCTTTGAAAAGTAGCATGTAATTGAAAGTAATTTGGAAACTGCTTGTACCAGGTTGGAAAGAAAAAGAAAGAAAGAAGGAAAAAAGGAAAGAAAAAAGAAAAAAAAAAAAAAAGAAAGAAGAAAAGAGAGACAATTAATTCCCAATATATTTTTAAAGAACATAAGCCCAGAAACAATGTTCATGCTATTGTTTCCTTGAAATAGAGAGACTTCATATCTCAGTTCAGCACAGCATATAAGTCTATAATTAAATTTTGAGGTAATCCAATTTCCATTTTAGCCAAAATACTCATGTAGTTAAATTTATTCAAGTCAGTTGAATCGCCCATGCAGGTTACTGCTGAGTGAAAATTGACTGAGGCAACACGTCCCACAGCATGCTGGCTCACCTAAATACTGTAACAAAATGGATATATTCTATTAGAATTTGTGGAATGATTCAGTTATGAAGAAATGTGGTTCATAAAATACAGAATACAATACATGCTATTATCATGCCAGGATAGTTACCACTGATGAAATAAATATGAGAGAGATTTTGCCTTTTAGGAGGAAGGTCAGGGACACAGAGATTTACCAGTAGCTATTGCTATCTTCAAGGCAAATGAGTGGTTGGATTAATTAAGGAAAAATACTATCCTTTGAGGGCTTCTAACAACTTTGTTCCAAACTTGACTATCTTCATCTGAGTTTTCTGATCACTGATTTCAAGAAACAGTGCAGACATCCTTGAGAAGCTGATACTTGCTTCATTCAAGTTGTAAGCAGAACTCTTAGGCATTTGTTAGAAATATAGTAGGTGACAACTGGTAATAATTATTTATTTCAGTCTGTTCTGTGCAATATGGTGCCCTGCAGAGAAACCCAAAGCAGCCTAGTACAGCAGAAAAGAGCCCCAGAAGTCCAAATGGTTCTGACAGGATGCATTAGCCCACTTGCAACTCCTGAAAGAAACTACTTGGAATGAACCATGGTCTCAGCAACAAGGAGCTGATCTGCGCTCCATGGGACAAAGATGAAACTGAACCTGCAGTAATCCATGGGTCTTAGTTATCATCCAGACACTTCTAGACTCAATAGCAACCTATTAGTGTGGTAGCCCTGCTTATACAAATATAGTTATCATGTTTTCTACTGCAGAAAAGCTAACGTTAGCAAATCTAATGTCTTTCTAACTATCTTCTCTACAAAGCTAAAATTGATATGGACTTTAGTCAAAGCTTAGAAATCAAGATATAAATAATATTATTAATATCAATATAAAATTCCATAGGTATCAGCCAAAGGAAGAACTGAACTCCCACTTTATTTCTTTGCTTCTCCTTTTGTCCATCCTTTTCAGCTCTATAAAAAGGGACTGGTGGTTTTTTTTTTGTGCTTGTTTTAGTTTCAGAAGTCACAAGAACACATAAATAGGAACACAAGATTATAAGCAAGTTGAAAGGATTGATTATTCTTCTTTCTTAATGATATCTGTGAATCATAATATAAATATAGTACCTGACCCCAGGAGAATCAGCCTAGTCCATTAGTTAGGGAAGACTTCTACTTACCCTTTTTTTTTTTTCTAATTCTCACTCACATCTTTCCCATGTCATGGTAAGTAAAGCGTACAGTAGAAAATGTGATTATTGGTACTGGCTCATATAATTTCTTTGCATTATTATAATGACTATTTTATTTAATTTTCAACCAAGAATGAAGAATAAAAGATCTCAAATCATATATAATGTAGTCTTCAAATCTGCCTTTCCAAGTACAGAACACAGAACTAAAACTAAATGCCAGTGATACACATATTCCATGGGGCATACTGTTTCTTTAGGTATAATGATCCTTA